ACCAGCTGGTCACTAGTTCACCCAGCTGTTTGTTAGTCCAGGTGGACCTCCTGGGTGGCGGTGGAGCTGTGCAAGCTGCCGCACCGCATCCGACCAAGCTGATGGGATTTCAGAAGAAGGTTGCAAGATTATCGACAACTTCCACAGGGCGTACTGGCAGTGCATGACACGAGGTAGACAGCTCCCAGCTTCAAGAGAGAAGATTGACAGCAGTTCTACAAGGCACTGGTTGACATCCTGCCGGCATCCCCAGCCCACGCAACACTAAGCAGGGAACGGAGTGCATAAACCATAGACCGGGACACCAACCCCCTGTCTGTAAGCAAGGTCTGCAGATCTCCTCGGCGGCGAGCAGAGGCCTTTTGTGGCGTGCTTGTTTGGCATGGGTCCAAGCATCAATTCAGAGAGTTTGGATCGTTCCCAACTGCCCAGCAGGTAGCCGTAACTGGTTGCAGCTGCTAAACAAAAGTTCGACCGGAACACCTGATCTTGTCAGCAGTTCTGCGCCGTCGCAGCCCGCCTCTGCAGGGCTTGTGGCCGGGCGCTTACAGACCCACTTCACAGGGTTCAGAGATTCCAGTCGGTGGAGAAGAAACAGGCCGTGTCAATTTCAGAATAGGTTGTCAGCTTGCGGGAGTGCGGAACCTCTTCCATTGAAGCAACACATCCTCAAGTCATGCTTACGTTTCTTTTCAGGACAGCTGGTGTACTCGCTATGTATGACTGTAATTATGTATGTATGTATCTGTGTATCTATGTACATGTGCATATGTATATGTATATGATGAGCCTATTTGTACATACGCACACAGACACATATTCTTGTGGGCTCTAAGTGTGAATGTGCGAGGACACGCTGGATCCGCTCCTGAGTGCTCCCAGCGCACCCAGCGGAGGCTGGGGAGTTGTAGTTCTCTGAAGTGTTGAGTCTTGCAATTAGGACCCTCGACAGGAGAGTCCCGAATCGAGGCTACAGTTCTTGAACTTCCGGCCTCTTGTTCAAATTTCGGCTGTTGATGCAGATGCACACGGTGTGCGTTGCAGGCCTGCTTGCGGGGCTTGCCCTTGACGCTGCACCGGTCCGGGGGCTGAGATGAGAAGTCAAAGACTGGAAGATTTGCAGAGGGCTCCAAAGATGGCACTAGGACTCCATGGTGTAGCAAGGGCGCCAAGCCGAAAGTCCTAGCGAAACACCACACGGCTTCTGGCTGAGGCTCCGGCATCTGCGCCAGCAGCTACGCCGGCAGCGCCTGCTGCGCCAGGCCATCAACTCAACCGCACGGGGGTGTTGTTTTGGCTTTCAACAACCCTGAGCAGAGACAAGTCAGGAATGGCGTGTGCCTTGTGGGTGCTGCCGAAAGCGTCTCAGTGCCGCCAAATCGGAGGAGCGAAAGCCGGCACCCTCGGCGCCGGAGCCACGCTCCCCAAGGAGAAGCAGCGTGGGATTCTACTGTAACGTGAAGAGGGTAAATAGAAAATCGCCCTGGGTTTCAGAACGGAATATCCTGCTGGCAAGAGGTACGGCCGGTAGGGGTACAAAATTGCTTTAAGACTTTTAGCCTTCAACACAGAAACTTCCTGGGATTGATGTATTTTGTGATTAGATCCTATCATCAAGATCACTCATCAAATCTCATCACGAACCAGGCAACCAAAGCAAGGAACTACGCATGGGGCTGGAGGGTTCTGGGCATGGCTTGGTGGGCGCTTTCGCTGGAGTTGGGAAGGTTCGGTCCCGAGAGTCGTTTTCACACATGCTACTGGGCTTCCGGACGAAAAGTCTCGGAGCTTGGCAGCCGGAGAGGCAGGCTTGTTCGGGAGGGGAACGCCGTCTAGTTTTGACGTTTGCAGCTTCTCGCTTGATGCGGGCTCCTAAAGGGTCACAGGCGCACAAAAAACCGGGAGACTAAATGCATGCGAAGTGCTTTTCGTCCGGGTTTTGTGCACTTCGTGTTCGGAGCTCGGTGGCTAGGCTGACAACCAGAGAAATGGGAGAGCATAGAGTAGTGTCTAAACACCCACAAAAACCTTTGTTTTGTAAACATACGCTGATATTTGGGCTAAAAATCTGGACATCAGAACAGCACAACGAACTAGGAAATATCAGCCATAAACTCAATGAAGTCTTGCGTAAGCGGTAGTTGGTACCTCCACACGAACTCAACGAGGTTTCTCGGTCTCTAAAGAGATCTGGATTGGCCTCGCATGGGACGACGAGGGAAGGGAGTCTTGGGACCTCTGCCGTCATCAGTTTGTGTAGGGTTTTTCAGCTCCAGTGGTCTGGGTTGCCGTTGTCACAGTTGGCGAATGGATGCTCTGAGGAAAGGACGAGGTCTGTGTGGACGCTATCATAGTTGACCCATGGATGCTCTGGGGAAAGGAGGAGGTCACGGTGGTTGAAATCATGGTTGACCCATGGGTGAGCTGGTGAGCGAATGTGGCTTAGGTGGACGTTATCATGGTTGACCCATGGATGGTTTGGGGGAAGGATGAGGTCTGGGTGAACGTTATCATTGTTTTGGGCCCTGGATGCTGGGGGGGGACAGATGATGTCTGGGTGGACGTTATCATGGTTTTGGCCCCTGGGTGCAGAGGGCAACGGATGAGGTCTGGGCGCACGAAATCATGGCTTTGGCCCTTGGATGCTCTGAGGGATGAATGAGGTCTGGTTGGACGTGATCATAGTTTTGGCCCATGGATGCTCCGTGGAAACGGATGCGGTCTGGGTGGACGTTAATTATCATGGCTTTTCCTCATGGATGATCTGGGGAACGGATGGAGGCTGGGTGGACATTATATGATTTGCCCATGGATGCTCGTGGGCAAGCAGGAAACTACCAGTTTTTTACGCTCCTGTTTCCTCCTAAAGCGGGCGAAGAAGGTTTGGGATGTCAGAAGATGTAGCAGTTAGCAGTTGAAGGGAAGGAGCGCAGTCAGGACAGTGCCAAAGAGGACATCTTCGGTTTTGTCGGTGCGGAGATGTCCAAGGCCGGAGCTGAACTGAAAGCAACTCTGCCTGGCTGCTGCAGCTGTTTCATTCTGTTTCCACTGCAGGCAAACAAGTGATGAGATGTGCGAAACTCGGGTGGCGATGTCTGGTCAGGCGGATCACCCGGATCTGTTTTTTTTAGTCCCTGTGCCTTCACGGACACGGTTTTCCCACCTTCAAGACATCCCGGATCTGCAGTGACCACAGTCCGCGGTCTGCGGAGGTTTGATCAGGAATGGGTCTGAGGGCTGGACGGTTACTTCAAAGTACTTCGCTGGCAGGGTACAGCGGGTCAGAACGTTGGGCGACGCTGACTGGTAGAGCCTGGTAGAACAATAGGGGATGGCTTTTGTCCAAGCGGTGGAGCACAGCGATGTTCTGATCGCTCCGAGGTTACATGCGATGGAGAGGACTGTCATGCGTTTAATGGGAGCAGACGAGGTAGGTGTCTTCCGATTCTGTGGTGGGCCCCATTTCGAGCCGAGATGAAGAAACTCGAAGTCTCAGCTGCATTTGTTGACTCAAAGAACATCACTACGATCAAGCTTCCGGCGGGCAGTCAAAATCACTGCGCTGTTGGAAAGTTTAGTAACTATCCAGGATTGGCCAGGTAAGCCTGATGGACCTTGAGCATCTCATGCTAAATACTGGAACCAGCTGAATAGAAAAGTGGTCTTCAGATGTTCATGTCTCATTTTGCCGAACCCAGCGCAGGCTCTCAACCAGCAAGAGAGAAATCTTCTGCCTTGCCTGGTGCACCAGGACCCGCGGCATTGCCAAAGCGCTTCAATTGAGCTCGCTCCAGGTCCTTTTGTAAAGCTCGAAGCCGCCAGGCTGCGGCCGCCGCGGCCATGGCCTAGCGGAGACTAACACTGCTCCGAACGCAACAGACCAACTGATCACCTGCAAGTGGAATAGAATAGAACTTCAGTTGATAGTATCTTCTCGCTTGGGGTCACGAAGTGCGCACAAGACCTCAGAGATGGTAGTACTGATCGTAGCCTCGAGGCTCAAGCCACCTTTCGAGTCGAGACTTGCGTCTCGTTGTCTGACAAGCAGCTGTGATGGCAGAAATCTGGCAGAATCCAGCATGGTGTAGGCCAGTCAACCGTGGCACTCGGATTTCGCTATCACTGCCCTAGTTGTGCGGTGCAGGCTCAGACATGTCAGACTGTGCTCCCGGAAGCAGCAAGCGTACTGCAAGCACTACAACCGTCGAACATTGCAATACAATGTGCTGTGCGATGGTTGTGTATGGTGTACAATAGCAGTAGCATGGCATGTTGCTACAGACGTTGTCAATGCAGGGTATGTATGCCGGCGTTGTTTTGCCGGTTTCTGGTTCTTGTCGTTGCAATTCTTGGGGATGCGACGAACAGTGTTGCATAACATCACCACGATTGCTCCTGTTCCTGTCACTACCACGACTCTACAAGTTACTTTTTGGACTAGAGTACGGCAGTAGTTCCATGACAAATGCTTCACATACGCCTTGGACAGAAATCGCGATGTGGGAGCTCACAGCCTTTGTGCCACGCATCCTTAGGCGAGGCAAAGGGGCGGCAGACCTGCCCTGAGGATTGAGGGGGGAACTCCGGCCAAAGCGGTGCATGTATTCATGTATTGCTACTGCATTGCATGGCATGATCCTTCAGTTCCCTCTGCAAACCTCCACGATAAACTCGAAGCGCCTGCAAGCGCTGTGAAAAAGGCTGGTAGCATGCCAGTTGCGTGACGTTTCGTCTTGATCCATCAAGCCAATGTACCGCCCCCGCAATCGAAGCTGTTTTGCGACAAGGGAGCAGAGATTTCCCTGGTCAATGTGCCTTGGATGGGCCATATCCGCAACCATCAGCCAAGCAAGGACCGGCCCAGCCAAGCGATGCCTGAACAACGCTCTTAGCTCGATTCCCGGATGAAATGCACCTTCGTCCGCTGCTTGTAGTGTGAAAAGCTGGCACTCACGCATCTACACCCACCTCCCGCCACAATCTCTGCTTTGTCTCCTGCCATGCTATCGGTATCAGCAACGCCCAAAGCACCACCTGCGTCGACACTCAGCCGAGCTTCCCGAGCTTCGAGGCAGGGCTTTCGTATGATCTTCTCAAACTGTTGCTGTTGCTCTTTGCTTTGGGGGGGCGATTTCAGCCTAGGCAGCTTTCTTTCGCATTTTGAGCACGCGCTGCCTTCAGCTGCACGGGAACTGCACCGATCTGGATGTCTTCAGTAAGTTACATACAGGAGTACATGCCCTTGATGATGGCAAGCTCAGCTGTGCAGTCCACGGCAAGTTGTGCCGCAGAGGTTCAATGTATATCTATATGTCTGCACATGGACATAGGGATATCTATCTCTTTCTCGTTCTACCTATCTAGCAATCTATCTGTCTATCTGTCTGCCTAAGTGCATATATACATATGTACACATATGCATGTCATCATGTGAAACCCAAAATCTCGGGAGGAGGAAACCCGGTTGCCGCCTAGACCCGAACTATATACCAGCCGCGTTTTCTCTTCGAAGACTAAGTACATTTTACATCATGCTTGCGCGCGAACGAAAACGGGAATCGCAAGCATCTACAGTATATAGCAGGAACTCGTTTCCCTCTCTGAAAATATACCAGTCCTTGGAAAGGCGGCCTGAGACTAGCTGGGCCTCAGGCGTGCGCCCGGGCGCAGGCCTCGTTTCTCTGTGCTGTAGACGCGGTCAATGACCACTACCACTGACGATGACTAGTGCTATTACTGCTGCTACTACTGCTACTACTACAACTACTGCTACTACTGCTACTACTAGTACTGCTGCTGCTGCTGCTACTACTACTACTACTACTACGACGACGACGACTACTACTACTACTGCTACTGCTACTACTAGTGCTACTACTACTACTACTACTACTGCTACTCCTACTGCTAGTGCTACTACTACTACTACTACTACTACTACTACTACTACTACTACTGCGGCGTCTGCTACTAATACTACGGCGACGACGTCTTCTTCTTCTACAACTATGTCTACATCTACGTCTACATCTACATCTGCATCTTGCATATACGGCTACTGCTGCTACTGCCACTGCTGCTACTGCGGCTGCTGCTACTACTATTGCTAATGCCACGGCTTCTATTCCTACTACGCCGCTATTGCTTTATTTGCTACGAGCAACAGTGCGATTGGGACAGCGACAGTGTCGAGGACTGCGACCGCTGCTAGCACTGTCACGGCTTAGTGACAGCAAGAGTATTCCGCTTTCGCCAGTACAAAGTCGAAGAAAGAATGTGATGCATATCTTTTGGTCAGGTGCTAGCGCCCTGTGCTTGGCATGGGTGCACCAGCAGGCTGCGTGGCAGATCTTTTACAGTGGCTCCAATTTGCGAGTTGCTATTTCGGAGTCGTTGTCACAAGAACTTGAACTTTAACGCACCTGAGCATGCTGGCAAGTTTTACTCGACTTGGCCTGAGTCGGTGTCGCGATGGGCTGCGTCGTGCAGTTGCAGCTCAGACGTAACTGTAACTTCAGCCGTGATGGTTTTTAATTTCGTTTGCGTGCTACTCCCGGGGACTCTTGTGTTGTCTTAATGCTAGTTGCAGTTACTACCATAGTTACTTGGTCGGCATTGCAGCTTGCAGCCAGTACGGTTGTTCTTGGACTCTTATCGCCTGCTTCCCATGTCCCCGATGAGTTTAGACTTAGACTAAGAGTGCTCTACCTTTTGCGAATGCCACGGATCGCAATCAGTGCTGGTGCGATTTCTATCGTTCTTAGGGGCGCCTTGAACCCAAAACCTAATGCCCTCAGCCCTGCTTTCGATGAGAGGTTCGACGGCGTGGGGCCGGACCGTTGCGGGCGCTGAAGCCCGGCGACTACGGATGCTGGGCCAGGGATTTCAAGCACCACTAAAGTCTCTGAAGTTTGTCGAGTTGGTTAGTGCTACCTGCAGCACTACTACTCTTGTCATCATCATCCTCGCAATTGTTGCCTTTCATAGACTTGTGTCCGTCATTATGAAGCCCGAAGAGTCTCGGGGTATCCTCCTGGAGCTGCCTTGGGAGATTTGCCTCGGGTTGGGGTTCTTACTGCGCTGACTAGTGACTAGTGAATTCCGCTCAGGTAGCATGAACTCCTAATCCAGAACCTGTCCAGGTGATTGAGGGTTGGTGAATCCATGCCTCGCAGGCTTCTGGCATACATGATGCAGTAGCAGCATCATAAGGAGCTGAAGGCATTTGGAGGTGCATCCTCCAACAGGGTTGCTGAACAGCCCCATGCCGCGGCCCTGAACCTGAAGCCACTGAACCATCCTGCGGCCCGAACACACCCTTGCCCTTGATGTCCTTCCTCTGCAGCATAGGACTGCCGCCCAAGCTTGCGGGCATGGCTTCGGCTTTAGCCGGCCTTCCAAACGACCGCATGAGCATCCCGGCAAGGGGAAAAATGCAAAGGGCGGCAGCAGTCGAAACGCTGATTCCAGCCAACTCGAGGATAGCCAAAGTCTTGGAGTTGGGGTGGTTTTAAGCAGCCTTCGACTCCCCAGCCCAGGATACCAGCAGCTTATGGCTTTGGCTGCGAAGTGCAAACCTCGGCTGTCAGTACACGTATGAATTCTTTGTGCCATTCGCAGCTATTCACGGTACTAAATTACTGAGCCTGAAGAGATGCTTTCGGCTGCGGATTGCAGCAGGGCTTCTCTCACGATCCACGTCAGAGTCTCCTCGTCGTCTGCCGATGTTGCTGCTGTTAGCGAACATGTGGACACCCACTCTGAGTTGTCCTGCTACGATAGTTGCTCCTGTCGTTGCTAGTGGTAGTGGCTCTGTCATCTAGAGGCTAGAGTAAGGCTTTTGTTATTGTTACTTCTTAGTCATTTAAGATCATTAAGGTTTGCTTGCTGTCGGATTTTGCTATGCAAGTAAGGTATTTCCGTTTGAACTTGTCAGTCTCATCATCGTGGTGCCTGACTGTGACAAGTGGGGCCATAAACAGTTTGTTGGTGCAAGGGTTCCCTTCGATGAGATTGTTCTTTGCCATGGTATCGCCGCCGATGAGGGAGGTGGGAACGCCAGGAGGATGAGGCATCGTGATAGAAGTGAGAACTTCAGCGGGGGTGGTAATGGTATCGTAGTCGTACGTAGAGTCGTAAGCGTGGTCGTTGCGGTAGTTGTAGTGGTTGTAGCGACAGCAACATCAGCAACATCACCAGCAACAGCGACAGTAGTAGTACTAGTAGTACTAACTAGTGGTAGTGGTATTAGTAGTGGTAGCAGTAGTGGTCAGTCTCGAAGCATCATGCAGGCTGCCGGCAATGCCAGCGGAGCTGAAGCTTCCAGAAAACAAGGCGTTGAGAACTCGATGAGAGACTGGATTTTCGGGTGTCGGCTTCGGGGTTTCGGCTCCGAGATCCTCGTAACAGCCTGCGGCAAGAATGCCATCCCCTCGCCTCTCCAAAGTGCAGGTCCCTGGCTGCTTGAGCACGGTGCACGCCTGGGGCCTTAGCCGACCATCTCATCATGGTCTTTCTGTGATAGTGGTGACAGCAAGCACGAGGAGGGAGCAGTTGAAGTAACTTTCGGCATCGTTGTAAGCGTCATGCAACACCTGAGGGAATGCACCCGTGTTTTGCGCATGCCATGCTCCGCGCTGCTTCGTGCAAGATAGACGGACAGGAGCTTGCGCGAAGTTGTGCCCCCTCTGCAGGTGAGTGCCCAGCTGGAGGAGGCCGGGGATGCGGAAAGTCATGCCATGCTCGAAGAGTTCATTCTGGCGCCCGAGTCTACTGCCAGGACGGCACCGTTAGCTTCCAGGGAGACTCAGATGCCCTGATATCCAAAGGCTCGGTGAAATTGTCCAGCTGGCAGAGGATCAACAGATTTACGTAGACGTCCTGCGGTATCTTGCCAGGCCTTTGTGCTTTGCTGGTGCTGTGCCTCAGCGGCTGTACACCGGAGGTGCCGCAAACCATGTGGATAGCTAGGGCGGCTGTTCCCCAGTGTCATTAAATTCGCACCTATGGATGGACAGGCAGATAGGCTTAGATAGGCATTCACATGCTAAGAAGTCCGAGAGTTCGGACATGTCGGCTTTGCTACATATGCTTTGTTACAACTGTGCAGTGCAGCAAAACGACGCATGGCTCCTGCTTCTATAAACTGGTCGTGTATGATATTCACACCGCGGGAAGGAAATTGCCGGCGTGAAGCCCGAGTTTATCAAGGCCTGGGTTGTTGAAGAGTTGTGAGATCCTAATCCGAGTGTGGTAGGGGACGCCGCATGCATGAGGCCTCCGGCATTTCGGCGGCTTTGACACCGGGCCGTAACAATGGCTTCTTCAACATGCCGTGGCCCAAGAGTGCGTCCGAAGACACTAATGTGTGCTTTGAGGCAATAATATCCTCTCCCAAGTCGGGCCCTGCACAACAGGGGCGGCAGAAGGGCCCATAGGGTGGGGGTTGCGGTGGGCGGTGTATGGCGATGGCGGTGGGGCCGGCGGTGGTGGTGTTGTGGCGGTGGTGGTGGTGGTGGTGGTGGTGGTGGTGGTGGCAGTGGTTGTACTGGTAGTAGAGGTAGGGGCAGCAGCAGCAGGAGAAGGAGGAGGAGGAGGGTAGAAGTAGTACTAGCAATAGTACTAGTAACTAGTACTAGTACTAGTGCTAGTACTAGTACTAGTAGTTGTTGCTGTTGTTGGTGTTGGACAGATGCTACGGCGGCCACAGGCCAACCAGGAGAACCTCGTTTGCCATCACCTGCGCAGGAGGAGGTAAGATACCAGGTCCTGTCGAGGTCACACAGCTGATTGATTACACAGCAAGCCCCCGTCCAGAAGAACCTGAAGAGCAACTCTCCAAAAGAGATCGCGTCACTCACGTGTGCCAATCCAATCACATGTGCGGATGGCTGCATGCACTCGCTGACATCCTCGTGATGAAGGAGCCTTTCGCCATCGGCGGATTTACTGCATCCGAGCAGGTTGATTTTCGGAAGCGTCGACTCAAGGCTGTTCGCAAGGTCCCTTGGATTCTACAATGCATCCAAAAATTCTCAACGCAAGAAGGGACTACTTGGGAGCAGGCCGTGACAGCCAAGCTAACAGTCGGGACCTCGGGTCACCGACAGTGTCTTTAGGCGAGGGAGTTCAACAAAAAGAGCTGGACCAGATCACCCGCTTCTAATTATGGCCTCATCCACGCCTGTTTGTCAAGCTTTGGGATCACGATGACATGCAGGATATGGTTGAGACAGATGACAACTTCGAGATCATAGCCTGCACTTTGAAGTCCATCTATGATTAGCCCTGCGCAGCTGTGGGTCATTTTCATGCCCAAGGGTGGCCAAGTTGTGCGCAAAATGCGCATTGACCATAAGCTGGAAGACACTGAAGCCAGACAGTATAATGACTCCTGCCGTTCAGCAGCTGGCGACAAACGCCGGTCCAAGCACCCTGACGGATAAACGTCCGAGAGAAGCTGGCAACACCTACCAGCAGTCTTGGCAAAGCAGCCGATGGTACGAGCAGCAGGACGCATCTTCTTTCGCCAGCAGTTGGCACTGGCCGAAGAAGTGCTGAACTAACAGCCTGGAGACTCGGTCTTGGCATCAGCTGCAGACTGTTTGCCCTGGCAGTTAGCCCGCGGTCAAGCACTATAGTTGCTAACTTTTGTGGGATCTTCGAATACTTTGCAGTTTGCCTCGTCACGCTGAGAAGTGCAGTGACACTGCACGACGGCACCAGCTGCTACCACGATTATCGCAGGTTCTTTCTTGTTCTCGACGACCCACGAGGTCCTTTTTGCCCTCTCATATGCTTGTCGGTCGTCCGGGATACGAAGCAGCTGGGTAGGTTCAGTCTGCTCTGTGGAGACGGACATGGGGCCTCATGTGCTCGTCGACTCAACAGGAGTACGGGGCAGCATAGCGTGGATCGGTTCGACGAGGCGTCATCACGAGTCAAAGCGTTTAGACAAGTTGTATTGTCACGAGGTCAGTTTCACGCAAAGTGGGCGCTTGGTGCGGTACTACGCCCGCCATGCGTGGAGTCCACTCGCTCTGTGTCCAATTAAGATTGAAATTGTTGGTGGTGGTGGTGGTGGTGGTGGTGGTGGTGGTGGTGGTGGTGATGTTGCTGCTGTTGCTGTTGGTGGTCTTGTTGAAGATGTAGTTGCTGCTGCTGTTGTTGTTGCTGTTGTGGTCATCGTAGGCGTAGACTCGTAGACGTAGACGTAATCGTAGTCGTAGTAGTAGTAGTAGTAGTTGTTGTTGTAGTAGTAGTAGTAGTAGTAGCAGTAGCAGTAGCAGTAGCAGTAGCAGTAGCAGTAGCAGTAGAAGAAGTAGTAGTAGCAGTAGTAGTAGTAGTAGTAGTAGTAGTAGGAGTAGTAGTAGTAGTAGTAGTAGTAGTAGTAGTAGGAGTAGTAGTATTTGTAGTAGTAGTAGCAGTAGTTGCAGGCGTAGTAGTATTAGTCGTAGTAGTAGTAGTAGTAGTTCTAGTTCTAGGTCTAGGTCTAGTACGAGCACTAGTACTAGTAACTAGTACTGCTACTGCTACTGCTGCTGCTACTGCTACTGCTACCACTACCACTGAGACCACGACTGTTGCTACTACGACAGCGACAACGGCGCCAGGTACGATCACGACTGCGACCACTACTGCCATTACTACGAATTCTACGGCTATTACTTTACTAGTATTAGCAGTGCCAAGCAGCAGCATTAGTAGCAGCAGTCGTGGTTTGTTTCTTCGCTTCTTGGGGTCGCAAGAGCTTCCGAGTTTTGTTGGCAGAGACCAGTCAGCGCCCCAAGAAACAGTGAAGTGTTGAATACTCGTTCTTTTGCCGCAAGGCCGTGCATTGTTGGGCGGCACAGAATAATAGAGCTAATTGCTACCAGGCCATCGCTCGAATCCGGCCAACACCCGTCTTGCTAATCAACCCAAGAGGCCCGAGAACGATCTAGAATCTAGAATGTATGAGTCAGAAGTTCACGAGTGAGCATGATAGGGGGCACGGCACTGCAGGGCCTCCGTGTGCTTTGTTAAGGTTTTGGAAGGTTTTTCTGCCCCGCCCTTGGAGGTTCAAGCTGATGAACGACAAGGTCGCCCAGCTGGTGCAGGGGGGCGCTGCCCAAGCAGCAGAAGAGGCCGAGTGGGTTTCAGCCTTTGGGCCTGTGCCATGTCGTTCGGCCTGCCTTGTTGAACTTCTTTTTTCAGGCCGAAGAGTCATTGGCTGCAGAGCTTCAGATCTACAACACGCATCGTGGCCGCACAAAAGCCTGACCAGAGTGTCGCTTTGGCAGCTCTCGTCTCCGTTTCAACAAGCGGTAGAAGACTGGTAAGCAACAGGCTTCAGCAAAGACCTGGGAATCCTAAAGCTAGGCAGGTGTAGCTAATCTCCATTTCTCACTGCTGCGAGGCTCACTCGGGCGAAGGAAAAGCTCGCTCCTCAGGGCTCAGGGCCACTGGTCTGGGCATCGCAAGAGTCGCCATCTGAAGGTTCACTACACTGGAGCCCGGCGTGGTCAAGATGTACGTGTGCCACCTCCTGAGCTGCTCCGTGCCACTGGATCGTCAGAACTTACAGGCGTCCAGAGGCGAGAGCTTTCCGCAGGGGCTCGGGGGCAATCGCGCAGCGAGTTTATTTGGTTTTGCTCCCGTCCTTCTCCTTTAGCCCACATTTCAGCAACAGGAAAGATGAGGCTCCAGAGAGGTACTTTGCAATCACCCCTTGGCAGCAGCCGCACCAATCATGGATTCATAGAGCTAGTTCGACCGATCTTAATCCGGATTCAGCAAATGAGGTGGCGTGACGGTCTATGACCTTTGCCACATAGGCCGGCCGGCATCAAGTGCCTTTAAAGACGCGGATTCCGGTCTCTGTTGGAAAGTCGCATGGAGGCCATGCACGAGTGATGGTCTTCTTCGACACCGCTGTCCGCTTCATGAGGCCTCAGGAATGCAGGTAGTTTCTCCAAGGGCTCGACAAGGTCTCCGATTAAGCTTCCAAGTCGAGCCTGCTCACACTCGTTCGGCAACTTCTGCCTTTCAGCCAAGTTTCGCGGTGGCTCTCGGAAGTCGAAGGCCCGAAGGCCTCAGCTAGTGCTCTGCTGGCACTCACCTCTCGCGTCTCGTGGAGGCACATGGGTTACAAAGTGACCTTCGTCCGCAATGTGACGGACATCGAGCCCAAGCCGAATTCAGTGCAGATCGCTTGGTGCCGTGAAGGAGGTTATCCAGGTGTCAGGTTATGCGACCACAGACACAAAGTGTCGGATCGGCTACGTCCATGGTTGATGATCTCGAGTGCGAAGTTTGAATCATTAATCACATTCCGGTGCAACGTTTCTATTTCCCCTCCTCCTGCTAAGGACGACAAGATCATTAAGCGAAGCTTGGAGAATGGAGAGACCGTCGCCACCTCAGCACGACCAACACCGCAACCTGCAACGGTGGACCGGATGATGCAACATCACTCCAGAGAAAAACTTTAAATCCCATGTACAGTAAAAGCGATCGCTTGCACAATCTGCCTGCACGATGAAGTGCAGTGCAACGAAACGCAATGAAATTGAGGATGCAACATTCCGTGACACTTCGATGTATGATGGTCATGATGACATAGTTGATGATGTTGACGATGCCGAAGGCGAAGTTGCTCCTGATAGAGCACGGCTGTGGTGGCGATGATGGTGGGAGTCATCAGGATGACGTAGGTGACAACCCCGTGATGGTGCTGAGCATTCAGATGGCACTGAAAGTGTTTGCGTTGACGATGAGGAGGTAGCGAAAGCGGATGCCTTGCTTCTCGCTGGGTTGCGGGGTCCGGCTATCTACCCGGCACCCAGCGCCCGCTCAGTCAGACCGGGCTGGGCGGGCGGCTGCGGCAGCTCTCCTTCCGGACAGCTGACAAGACCAGGGGTTGAGCCGGTTCTGCAATGGCCGCTGGTTGTGCTACTGGGCACCTCGCAGCGTCGCGTGGCGTTGTTTCGGGGGGGTGAGGCGTGCGAGCGGAGGTCCTTGTCCGATTCCTGGCCTGGCTTCCTGAAGGGATGTTCCGCGCAGCCACAAAAGTGCAGTTCTGACGGCATAGGAAGATGGGGAGCATTATGCCCATGATTCTATGTATGATGCTGTGATGTTGAGGTTGATGTTGATGTTGTTGCGGTCGTTGCCGTTGTTGCTGTTGGTATTGTTGGTATTGTTGGTGTTGTTGTTATTATTGTTGTTGTCAATGGTAGGTGTTGCGTCTGCCGCCGCGCGGGGTGGTGCAATTCCTCTGCTGGCATGTGCGGAAACTCGAGTTTTGGCACTTTCGTCGCCTGACGTTTAACTTTGCTTTTGCTTTCGCATCGGTTTTTGCGGTGTTTTCTGCCAAAAAAGTGACCCCGCCGGCGGGCTCCACTCTGCAAACTCATGCTCGGCTCTGCATTTCGCATAGTTGTTTTCGGTGTTTTCC